GGAGGAGGAAGAGGAGGAGGAAGAGGAGGAGGAAGAGGAGGAGGAGGAGGAGGAAGAGGACGACGACGACTCTGGGGTCTTTGGTGCTCTCTCAGCTTGGCTGTTTTCTTGCAGACGTTTCATTATCCAACTAGGTTACATCACCCATGCTAGAAAGGAGTAGGGTTGACTCTCTGTTTATAGGCAAGATCTCCCCACTCCCTTCTAGCACGGATGATGTGACCTAGTTGGGGAACAAAACATCTGCAAGCAAAGCTCAGAGAATCCGCCACGCTGGCTGGGGGAAATCGAAGCCCACGCATCTTCAGGGGGACAAATTTGAGGAACGCCAGGGAGTTTGGGCGCAAGAATAAAACAAGGCGCGTTGTGCGCATCTCCGAGACGTTACCCAGATCTTCCAGAGCACGTATGAGGGTGAGTGAAGATACGTGCGTGCGAAAACACCCCTCCACGTATCTCCACACCATGTCTGACACAAAGGAGGCTGGGATATATATACACACACCTGAAGCTCTGTGGGTGCGTTTGGCAAGGGAAGAAGTTGCAAGAGTTCAGCTCTGCCCAAGCTCTTTGCCCGTCTTGGCACGGGAGAAGCCCACGCGACAATTCCCCATTCCCTGTTTCGCGGGAATGGAAAGGACGCACGGCCCCTGCGTCACGGCGCCCTCCCCCTCCTCGTTTAAGGTTGCTCTTAATGACGCAAAGAGGAAGGCCCCTGGGGTGGGACCCTCGGTCTTGACGTCTGCATTCCCCGAGGAAGGCTGCGTCCCACCCAACATTAAAAGGCTAGGCTTGTGTGCAAAGGCATCGGCTGCGACCCCGCCAAAGTCCTGGCTTTCGTTTCCGAACGTCGCAACCCAAATTGGTTTAACTCGGAGAAATAACCTTTTTTTCCGCTCTGCTCTGGTCCTTTCGCAGGCCTGTTGGAAGAACGGAGGCCTGGAAACCAAAGCCAGACTCTCTGCTTGCTCTGGCGGAGAAAATCCAGGCACGAACTAGCCCCCGTCGAGGTCTCAGAAGCCTGAATGCAACTTGGGGAGCTTCACAACAGAANATAGATACAGCAGCCAAATAGGACAGATACAGACTCAACGGGTGGTTAAAGCTGCAGAAAGAAGAACTGCAACTAGGCTGCCTTCTATTATATTATTATATTAGATATAATGAAGTTTATATATTACACTCATTCCAATATACTGGACCTGTATATTGCGCGGATCAGAAGAAGGGCTGAGAAGTTAACTACAGAGCCCTGACGTATGGGACACAAACACTTTCAACTGCTTCCCTATAGGTGGCGCTATAGGACAAACAACTAGACAGACATCTGTTCATCCCCCCCCCCCCTTTACTCTGCTGCACACTTAATTCTTATACTACTGTCTACTGTACCAGTGGTGGGTTGTAGGAGGTATGCCCCTGTACAGACGTACCGGTGCCTGCCGGGAGCACCGGGTACCATTCCAGTACCGTGCTCCGGAGGGCCAGCCCGCCCAAGCTCCTTACCTGTATTTGAGCTCTTTGGCGCTTACCTGCGCAATGGTCCGCCAAGCAACTGGAACGTCACGGAGGTAAGGACGCATGCGCACGTGCTGCGTGCGTGCATGTGGGAGACGCCGGGCCCCATTCCACTGTACCAGTACAAAGGGATCCGGAACCCACCACTGAACTGTACATATATTTACTCATGTAATATGAGTGCAATATTTATCTTTATCTTCTTCTGCCCCCTCTTATTGATATTATGACCATTATATTCTGTTGCTTTCCAGGACTTCTGCACCAGATACAAATTCCTTTTGCGTCTTACCACATTTGGTCAAATGAAGTATTCAATTCAAAATGTGGAATACTTGCCTTTTGCTTCCACTCCTGAAAAACAGTAGAAATAGCATCCAGAATGTTGGTTCTTGCACAATCTAGAATAGTGGTTTCCAACCTTTTTTTGGCCATGCCCCACCTAAGCATTTCTAAAATCCTGATTTCCCCCCCCCCCTCCACATATAATTCTTACTTTAGTCAAAAAGTGAACTCTATTCACAGGAGGACGCCTAAAAGGCCATTAACTTAGTTTAAACAAGGTTCAAATTGTCCCCATTAAAAATCAAATTACCCCTCTGTGGGGCATGGGCCTCACGTTGGGAACCACTTATCTAGGAGGAGGGTGGAGTAAAGAGCTTAACGTGAACTGAGTGTCTGTGGTAAGGAAGTTGTTTCCTATTTTGTGTTAAAGAGGCAATTGTAGTGTCGGGGATGTGGTTCGGGTAACTTTGTAAGGCAGGGATGTCGTCACAGCATGCATATTCCTTTATATCAATCAAAACGATAATTTTATATATTTTTATTATTGGTGATCAGGCCCCATGCAAACATGACATATTTGTGATGTATGTGTATCTGTGTATATGCAAAGAAAATATGGTAGGTATATTTGTGTGGGTGGGTGTATACAGACATGTATGCAAATAATAGACAGATATTAACTCTTGGACAGTGGTGTGTTTTTTATATTGTTAATTACTATAATGGTTTTTTTAGAACCTTGAAAGATGACGGTGCTTTTTCATAATTAATGGCAGAATCCAATTCCTAACATTAGAAAAAAGGAAAGTGGTGTCCTGCTTGGACAAATTAGTTTTAAGATATGTCACTCTTTTGCACAGGTACTATCAACACTTATTGATGTAAAACTGTTTTGGTGTTTCGTCTTGCAGAAAGCAGTGGAAGATATTGTTACTTTTGCATGGCAAGTGTCTCAGTCATTTGTGTTTGATTTAACTGGAGCTGAAATCTTCATTACTTCTCTTGGATTTGAAACTGTTGGTAAGTTTGCATATAGCATTCTGAAATATACTGCCTGGCTTCCTTAAGAGAAAAACCAGAAGCTTAGCCAGAATTGGTTGCATTTATGCAACACAGTGGGCCATAACTCTGATTTTAAAATCACATGATAGTTTATAGCAAGATATATATATATATAAACTGGCAGTTGAGTGGTCTTCCAAATCAGCATGCCTATATATTTCCATGCAGCAAACGTAGAATTTTTAACGTTGTCAGTCATGCAACTAAAAACTCTGTTTATACACACTCTTCACGCAGAGGAATAACCAGTTAAGATTTTATATAATGTAATCATATATATTATACTATAAATATTTTAACTGAGACAACTAAGGATTCCAAGATAAATGTTTGTATAGATATTATTCAAGTAGTTTTCAGTATATGAAATGGTTTTCCAAGACAGGTACGGCAAAATTCCTGGAAAGCCACAAATTAGTATTATTATGCCAGTCTTATTTTTGCAGTACTGTGAAAACAAGAGACCCTGTTTGCAGAAGAGATCTGTACATCTCAATAAGACTCTTCTCTTCCCCTATAAAGATGATGTTCAGTAATGATTGTCTTTGGGGGAGAGCTATACATTTGGTCCTGGACAATTGGTGGCCATGGCTACAAATAACGTATCTTAATTTTAAAAAAACACACAAATATTTGATAATGAGTCAATTAATAAGCAAATGCAGCTATGGCTAATTGGTTTCAGAAAATGAACTGGCTCTATCTGAGAAATACTTAGTTATATTTTATCAATCAAGATTGTCATTGTGCGCCCTTTGCTCTTACAAATATTCTCCCAGTCAAGTGGAACTATTAAATATCTCTCTCTACAGGGCTTTGTTTGGCCACTATGATTTTGGCTGTAGCAGTTGGAATTGTGGCTACCTTGGTGATTAGCTCTGGCTTTCGTGGGAAAGAAACATTATTTATTCCGCTGGTATGGATCTCCAAAGCAACTGTCCAGGTAGAGTACTATTTTATACCTCTGGCTATGCTGCCTACAAATCTGTTGGACGGTTTATAGTTCAGTAAGATCTGAAAAGCCACCTGCTGCCCACCTCTGATATTCAGAGCAAAGTGGTGAAAAGTTCTTATTTTGTATTGAAAAATAACAGCTCTTCCCTGCCTGGTATTCTCTGACAGCACTGCAGTGTATATGTTGTGAATGCTGGGTGTTTGCAAAGAAAATGGTCCACAGATAACTCATTGGTATGTATCAACCTGCTGTCTTCAGACATACCTTTTTTGCTACAATATATTCACAATATATTCCCCCCCCCCCAGCCCTGCTTTGGGATGCAAATGTTTCTTTGCACCTGTTCCAGTGTAGTGGTCTTCCTTTTGAATTCTTGTGCTTGAATCAGGTAAGACAGACTGGTATCGAGGAGGCCCTTTGGATTATGGCAAGGACATTATTGGGAAACTTCAAACAGACTGTTTCCTACCTGTTTTATATACCACCTGTGACAACAGTTATTTCTTCCAATGTATCAGTGCTTACCATTCGCAAGAGTTAATCCTTTACTGTTTTGGGGTGTTTCCTAGCATTTTACAGGGTTTTTTTTCTCATGCAAATATTATAAAGATAGTTATAGTCACATTATCTTTTTTATGTAACTATTGATGCAATTAAGAAAATATATTTAAATACAAATGCATCAATACATTTCATCCACAGTACTGCTTAGAACTGTAAATTTCACAATATTTAAAAATTAAATTTCATGGAAATTAATTTATCATGCGGAACTGATGGGATGAAAGTGACATAGCCTTTGAAATGGAAAGCAATAAGAAAAAAAACTGCACTCTTAGTCGTTGGGATAAATAAGAACAAATATAAATACTTGTGGTTATGAGATAAATGGTTACATTCTTTTTAATATTATTGATAAACAGTATTATGACACTACTAAAAACTGAGGTTGTATCCACATTTAGTTGGAGTAAGTGCCACTGATTTCAGTAGTTTAAGATTTCTGAGTAAACCTAAAAACCAAAGAAGTCCCAAAACTCCTGTAGCCAATCAAATTTTTGGAGATCCCCAAGTAGGTTTAAACATCCTCAAAAAGTATTCAGATAAGACCCTTTCCAAGTCCTATATAGTCATTATGAACTTTGGTGAATACGGTTCTTTTTGCCAAAAAACAGTACAGTTTAAGAATATATAATTATGTCCAGAGTGTAACTAAATGATCACTCTTTTTTTAAAGTAAAGACGTTCGTTATAGCTCTTGATTTTATAACCAAGGCAATCAGATCTCTTGCAACTGATCTTTTTTGCCAACAGTTTCGTCAGACAATTTCTGAGGCCTGTATGATCAACAAGTTGTTTCCCCCCCTGGTCACATGATCAATCAAGACCATGGATTTTACCGCCTGCACATAGTTTTTTTCCCCCTCCTTGCTGCTGGATAGAAAACTAAAGGAGTGAGTCTCTCATAGCTGTGGTCCTTAGGATGGAGCACTATGGTTTCCTTTGTAAGTATTTTAACTTTTTCCTTTTCATTGTAGCACTATGCTTGTTTATAAGTACTTAATAAACTGCTGTGCTTATTTGTAATTACTTTGCAACCTACTAAGTAAGTACTATAATGTTTATTACGGTTTTTGTTTGTGTTTCCCTTGCAATTGCTTGCAGAAATAGTATCCAGCATCTATAGAAAGAAGTTTAAGGACTTGTAAAGTTCCTTTGCATTCTACTGCACTGTTTGTTTGTTTGCATGTATTGCTTGCAGAAAGATCCTTCTTGTACTGTGTTTGTTCACTTTTTGCTTTGAGGATTAGTGTGCACTATTGTAGAATGCTTTTACAGTAGCTGATCCCTGCAAATTAACTCCCTACACCAATGTAAATCCAGGGACCTGCCTGGAGGTGCTGCAATTCTCACCTTACCAGAAGACTGATAAGTGGTGGCAGCAAGGTAGCGTTATTTAAAAATTCAATGGATTATAGTTGTGGGCATGCATTGCACAATAATGGCCCATCAAAATTCAACAGACCTGTGCTGCTGTGCAAAACCTAGTTACATACGCTATGGGAACTTTTATGAGCACCATCTATGCATAGGCTGAATCTGTACCACTAGTGTATCTTCTGTTCAGAAACAGTATGAATCTACTTCAGATGTTTCCCTAATGGGAGCAGTGTAGAAGGAGATTGTAGAGGAATTGTTCCTGCTTCCCCAAAATCAAAAGAGCAAGGCCTTTCAGTGAATGGAACTTATATTTACAGTCCGATACTGAAGTGGGGTGGGGGGAGATCATGGCATTGGTCAGGGGAGAAAGCTTTCTCATGGCTAGGTGTTTCCAGTTGGGCAAAGTAGCTGGCAACAGTATCAATGTATTGGTTGCGTACTGGTCTCAGGAAGATTGGAGCTTTCCCTCGAACTGCTTGCCCCTCTGCATTCTTTAACCTTTAGGGATTGTTTTGCCTTATCATATCCCATCTTAATAACTCTGGAGGGAGAACTTGACTTGAGAAACTAAGTTCCACAGGTTTAATCCATGAAGGATCAATGGAAGCATTGAGGGAAAAAGTTGAGCTTTAGCCCAAAGTTTATGGAAGCTAGACGCNATCTATCTATCATCTGTCTGTCTGTCTGTCTTCTATCTACTTACCATCCATCCATCCTATTCTCACATGACCCCCATAGCCACAATTGGAAGAGTGATTTGTGCCATTGGAGCTACAGTGCCACTAAGTGGGAGATACATTTATACTTCAAGCTTTGAAGATTGTTGCATTAATTACACAAACATATATCTGGGGAAAAACTGGTGGAACGTAAGTTATACCTGGAATGTTCCTTTTTAACTGTGTAGTTATTTCATCTTTCCTTTCCCCATGCCTTTGCTTTGGGCAAGGATGGCAATACTGTTGTGAAAGCCTGGTTTGAGCATGATGAAGCCAGGCAGCTGCATAAAAATAGGCAGCTGCCCATTTCATGGGGAAATGCGTGCTCACCCACCATGTGAGGGGTTATTTCAGTGGTTTTCAGACGCCTTGGCCTAAAGCAGCCTTTCATATCAACCACTACATTTCCTCTGCAGGTTGGTTGAATGGTGGCCTGAAAGATTCTCCGTAGCTCCTGAAGTTACCCAGCTGTAGGAAAACGTATTTCAGTTTGCCAGTTATGAGATATAGAAGACTAAGAGGTTAAAAGTCAAGAAGGGGATGGAAAAAATGTCAGAATTCCAGAACTTGCAGGATTTTTAAGCAGGGATGCTATCAAGTACTTCATAGAAATGGAGGTTCTACCCTTCTTTTTCTCCTCCTTCTCCTTCTCTCCCCCTTCTTCCTCCTCCTTCCTCCTCCTCCTTCCTCTTCCTTTTTTTCTTTTCTCTTCCTCCTCCTCCTTTCTCCTTCTACTCTTTCCTCCTTCCTCCTCCTCCCACTTCCTTTTCTTCTTTTCTTCTTTTCTCCTTCTCTTCCTCTTTCCTCCTTCCTCCTCCTCCTCCTTTCTTTCTCCTCCTCCTCTTCTTCTTTTCTCCTCTGCTTCCTCCTCCTCCTCTTCTACTACTTTTTTTCTTCGCCTCCTTTTCCTCTCTGCCTCCTCTTCCTCCTTCTCTCCCTCTTCTCTCCCTTTTAAAATCTCTGCCTTTTTTTGCATTTTTTCAGAGGGAACTCTTTAACGAGCAGCAGATGTATCAGGCCTACCTGGCTCAGCAGCGGGAAGAAGACAAACGACAGGAAAGGGAGATGGACCTGTTGAGGGCCGAGGATGCTGCAAAAATGTGGGCCAAGAGAGCTGAGAAGGAAAGGGCCCTGAAACTAGCCAGAGATCGGTTACTCAAAGAGGTCATGGACACAAGGAAGCTTCAGATTGAGGAGAAATGTAAGAAACTGTTGGGACAACTGATTTTCTGCAAGTCCAATTTCTTTCCCGCTTGCCATCAGATGGAATAGTTGGGTAATAAATACAGGAGGTGCATCTCTCTCCAGTTTTTGAACACAAGATGGATATTCTGTCCGAAAGGAAAATGTTTCTGGGAGAAACCATGTAACTTGCTGGCAAATCTTCAAATTAGCTTCATTTGTATATTGCACACAATAAGTTCTGTTTTAATCAATTAACGGGCAGGGTCAAAGGATGATGTAAACCCCCTGCAAATTCACCCATGGGTGGGCTGCTGGGGGCTCGCAGGGGTTCGGGAGAATCTCTAGCTTAGATTCTGTGCAATTTGGAGAACCCCAAATCTGACTGGTCCTGCCCACTCGGCCCCTCCCAGGAATCCCCATGCAGCCCGTTTTGGATTCAAGTAAGTGTAGGGAGTGTGTGGAAGCTTGGGGAGGGTGAAAAATGGGCCTACCAGAAGTTTGGGAAGGCCCGTTTCCAGCCTCCAGAGCCTGGGAAGGCCATTTTCGTCCTCCCGGAGACTCGAAGAAAGCCTCCAGAGCCCAAGGAGGGCAAAAACACCTCCCTCCGCTGTAGTGCAGGAGGCCAATTAGACCACGCCCACCATGGCCATGCCCACCCAGCAACTGGGCAGAGAGCTAAAATTTTTGAAGCCCACCCCTGAATTCACCCAAGAGTTTCCTTCTGTATCAGTGAAAATTCTCCGTCATCTAGAGTTGGACCTGGAAGTTACCGAAGGACCAACTTGGATAAGCAGCAAAACATTTTCAAGCTTTTTGAAAATATGTTCAGACTTTTTCGCCGCCTATCCAAGGAGCTTCTTCAGTAACTCCCAGACAACTCTGGATGACTGAGAAAAGAAATGGCTGCAGGGGTGGGTTTCAGCCGGTTCTCACCGGTGCGCTAGAACCCGTTCGTGAAATTTAGCATACTTTTTGGAACATGTTTGTCCAGTGGCACAGTACTGGATGCTCCTTCCAGCCTGCCCTCCCTTCTCACTCCCCCCGCCTGTCCGGTCGCCGCTTGCTCGCCCCGCCCGTCCTCACTATGCTTTCCCCACGTGCCGCTCACTGATTGGCTGGCTCACCAATTGCCCCACTTCTGAGAGGCAGTGGGGGGGGGGGCTTTTTCACCTGCCTTCTTTCTTTCTCTGAAGGCATGCAAGAAAGCTCTCCCCCCATTGCCCGAATGTTGAACGTGTGAAGGAAGGTAGCTGCAGGCTCCTTTGCCTCAGCTACGTGACCTCCTTTCGTTCTCTGTCTGCCTCCTTCAGAGAAAAAAACGAGAGAGACAAAGAGAGAAGGAGAGAGAAAGAAAGAAAGCAAAAGAAGGAAAGAGAAAGTAAGTGGGGGAAAGAGAGACAAGAAAGAAAGAAGGAACGAAGGAAGGAAGAGAAAGGAAGGAAAGAAGGAGAGAGAGATATAAGAAAGAAAGAAAGAAAGAAAGAAAGAAAGAAAGAAAGAAAGAAAGAAAAAGAGAACTGATGATGATCACAATTGAGCCCAAAAATTTGGTTGCTAAGCAAGAGCGTTGTTAAATGAGTTTCACCACATTTTACAAGTTGGCCACTCCCACCCGGTCACATGACCACCAAGCCACGCCCACAAAGAGGCCACACCTACAGAATAGGTTATAAAATTTTTGAAACCAACCACTGAATGGCTGTGACTCAAATTCCAGTTTCCTTCTGGATTCTGAACTTATCAGGGCTTCCAATGATTTCACTTGATATTATTTATTTATTAATTAAATTTATCATCCACTTTTCCTTCAGGTGCTACAAGACCTTCTTTAGTCCTTGACTAATGACCATTCGTTTAGTGACTGTTCAGAGTTACAATGGCACTGAAAAAGTGACATCACTTTTTCACTTATGATTGTTGCAGCATCCTCATAATCGTGTGATCAGAATGCAGACACTTGCCAACTGCTCATATTTATGACGATTGTAGTCATTGGTGAAATCAACTTACCTTTGCTACTGGTTCGCTCAGTGTGAGCGTATGTTGGGGGACGTGCCACCTGCGTGCATGCGCAGGAGCTTCTGCGCATGCACAGAGCATCAAAAGCAGACAAGATGACGTTGGAGTGGGTTGGTGGAGCCTGCTACCGAGAAAGCTACCTGCTTTCTAGCTAATGTAAATCACGTGTCACAGCTGACATCAGAAATACCGGTTCACCCAAACCGGTAGCAATTTTTTTACTACTGGTTCAGGCGAACCGGTCCGAACCGGTAGCATTTCACCCCTGGTTGTAATGTCCAAAGGTCATATGATTTGTGACCTTCTGACAAGCAAAAGTCAGTTGGGAAGCAAGATTCACTTAATAACCGTGTTACTAACTGAACAACTGCAATGATTCACTTAAAAACTGTGGCAAGAAAGTTGTCTCGCTTAGCAGCAGAAATTTTGGGTTCAGTTGTGCCGTAAGCCGAGGACTGCCTGTATATTTGAAACAAGCACCCTACTGTGCATGGATTATCTGTTGATGATGTTTTAAATCTTGTAATGACCAAAACTGCATTAAGAAATGGGAGGGGTGGAGCTACTGAGCATGGCTGTCCAATGAGCCCCTTGTTCTGTTTTGACATTAACCGATGACTTGTGCCGTTTTCCACTTCTCAGTGCGGAAAAACGCCAAGGAGCAGGAAGATCTTCTACGGGATAAGGAATTATTAAACGCAGCCATCCAGGAATGCCAACAGCTAGAACAAGAGACCTACACAAGGTAATTTGTCAGAGTGTACACAGCGTGACTACTATTTTGAGACAACCCAGGAGCAAAATACAGTACACAGAGGTTTTGTCTTTCAAACAGTGGTTTATATACATGACTTATATATACCTACATACACGTGTTAGGCAAATACCAGCCAATCAATCAATCTTCAACTATAACATGGAGGCATACACCGAGAGATACATGAGGAGAGAGAGATACCTTCACATGGCCTCCCTTATATATACAGCTTCTTAAAGTGGCAGTAACCCTGCTGACTCATCCTCGTGTCATCATCTTGGTTTACAGCCTTACAGCAGCTGGTCAGCTATTAAATCATCATTACCCTGACATAATTGGTAACAGCCCTGGCAACAGGGCTGACTTCTCAATCAAGGGGCATTTCCTACTACAGGTAGTCCTCAGTTTACAACAATTCCTTTAGTGACCATTCAAAGTTACATCGGCACTGAAAAAAAGTTGACTTATGCTCCTTTTTCACCCTTATGACCCGGCATTCCCATGACTTACGTGATCAACATTCACATGTTTGCAACTGTCTCATATTTATGACGGTTGGCCATGTCCTGGGGTCATCTTTGGTAGCTTTCTGACAAGCAAAGTCAATGGGGAAGCCAGATTCACTTAACAACCGTGTTACTAACTTAGCAAGTGCAGTGATTCACTTAAGAGCTGCGGTAAGAAAGGTAATAAAAACAGTCAAATCTCACTGAACAAGTGTCTCACTTAACAACAGAAATTTTGAGCTCCATTGTGGTTGTAAGTCGAGGAGTACCTGTACTTTCCCAGGGGCACCGTCAAGGAGGGGGAAGTGATGTCACAGGCACCATCACTCACATGATGTCATGATGTCACCTCGGAAGGATGGAAAGCTGAGTCAACCTTGAGCCAGTGAGACTCGAACTGCCAAGTTGCTGGCAGCCGGCAGTCAGCAGAAGCAGGCTGCAGTACTGCACTCTGACCACTGCGCCACCAGCCCTTGGCCTTCTGAACCTCCATGCCAAGTGCTCAACTCCTTTCTCCTGTACATGTTCCCTGCAGGCGTTTGCAGCAATCGAAACACCACCGGGAAGAACTCCGTGCTCAGATCGATCACCGCAAGGAAGCCCGTGAAATGGAAAAGGAGGAGGAGCGCCGTGAATATGCCCTGGCAGAGGAAGCGGAAAAGCTTTATCATCAAAAGATGGCAGATATCCTTTCCAGACCATACATGAAGTTGAAATTTCTCCACCCTTTAAGGAGGCAACTAGTCATTAACTCTAAAAGTTAGTGTCGCTTCCCTATATGGATATGTAGATGCTGTCTGAGCCCAGGGATGGAAAGGAAAGGGGGGAATATTGAAGGATTCTCTTAATTATTCCTTTCAGTATTATTATTATTATTATTAATTTCTCCAGGCAAAAGCTTCTCTCCTCACCTCTTTTTTTTCTCTTTAAAGGTTAAAATAATTATATCTTAAATAAAGTCTTCCAGCAATAAATGAATACTAACCTAAAAGAAGAGTTGCTGTAAATCATTTTAAAATCTTGTTCCGTTTGACTTTCTAAAGCCTAAATTTGGCATTTTTAAATTATCCACCCTGATCTGTAAGTGGTTATTTCAGGAGCAGCATTTACACAACTCTTCAGTCCTACTGTGCAGTTTGGAAAGTCTGGTTTAATGTGCTGTGAGAATCCAACAATTTGCAAAATAAGATTTGGAGCAAATTATGTCAAGTCCATTGTGATTTGGAAACCATTGTGAACTGTTGCTCAATAACGGGGCTCTATAGAAATCGTGCTAATTACATTTGAAAGAATATAAATCTCTGCCCTGCAGATTTCTATCTATGAAATAACAGAGAAGTCAAATAATAAAAATAATCTGGAAAAGACATGAACTATCATCTCAACAGTCCATCAGTAGGTAGAACTAAAGCAGTCAGACAAAGTGAGCCTGCTAAAGGCAAATGTTCATTTATTCTAAATTTATATAATATCTGCAAGTTCTGTGTGAGCTGTGTAACACCATTCGATTTGATTTCGTCAAACTGGCAAGTGTGCCATTTGGAAAATCTGACAATACATATTTGTCGGAATGATGGGAAGGGCTGTCCATAAAATATGGATGCAGTCACAGTGCAGAGTGAAATATTAAAACCAATATGAGAAAACAGAATTTAAAGCTCTAGGCATCCAGATAAAATGCAGAAAAAAAGAAAATCAGCCTAAAAGGTTAAAATAGAAGAATTAAAATAGGAGGTTTTATACTTTGTGCCACAATTTTCATTCATTCATTTATTTATTTATTTAGTTTGTTACACATGTACGAGATAACAGGTATGAGTATAAACATGGACATGAACACAGGAAATGGGGACAGTAGGACAGGGACATTAGGCACGCTGGTGCGCTTATGCACTCCCCCTCTACGGACCTCTTAGGAATGGTGGGAGGTCCACGGTAGACATTTTGAGTTTGAAGCTGTGGGGGTTTGCGGCTGTAACAACAACGTCAGGTACAGCATTCCAGGCGTTGACCACTCTATTGCTGAAGTCGTATTTTCTGCAATCGAGTTTGGAGTGGTTTACTTTGAGTTTGTATCTATTGTTTGCTTGTATATTATTGTTGTTGAAGCTGAAGTAGCCATTGACAGCTAGGACATTGTAGCAGACAATTTTGTATACTACACTTAGGTCGGATATTAATTGGCGTAGTTCCAGATTGTCCAAGCCCAAAGTTTCAAGCCTAGTGGCATAAGGGCAGTGGTGGGTTTCAAAAATTGTTCGAACCTACTCTGTGGGTGTGGCCTCCTTTGTGGGAGTGGCTTGCTGCCCATGTGACCAGATGGGAGTGGCTTGACGCCCACGTGACCGGATATGAAGATGCCAATGACACTTGTCAGAACCACCTTAAATTACCCCACACACAGCACTGCCATGCATGAGAATAGGATGTAAACTTGTTTTTTAAAAGGCATCTTTGGTTTGCGTTAAAACAACTTCAACACACGCAATGTTCTGATTACACCACAAACGCAGTAGTCATCCTTACCTTTCACAGAGGCACTGAGTTTTATAAATATGAGCATGATAGTGTAGAATAATCATATCCAAGGACCAGTGGTGGGTTTCAAAAAAGTTTGGAACCTCTTCTGTAGGTCTGGCCTGCTTTCCGGGTCCACTGGTGGAACCTCTTCTAACCGGTTCGGTAGATTTGACGAACTGGTTCTACTGAATAGGTGCGAACTGGTAGGAACCTACCTCTGCATTAGGGATTCTATAGTGAGTAGAGGAGTGGAGGACTCTTCTCGTGAAATACCTCCGGACCTGCTCAATCGTATTAATGTCCGATATACAGTGTGGATTCCAGGCAGACGAGCTGTATTCGAGAATTGGTCTGGCAAAGGTTTTGCATGCCCTAGTTTGCAGTACAATGTTACCAAAGAAGAAGCTTTGCAAAATTAGGTTAACAACTCTTAGTGCCTTTTTGGCAATGCTTCCTTACCTGATTCCTTCCTGCAAGGCTCTGAATGAACACACCACAGATCTAACGGACACTAACAGACTATTTCCTCTTATATTAAGATTACATTAATTTCATTTGGCAAAGATTTTTTTTAAAAAATGATGACATTTTAAAAAAATCCTTAAGAAAAAAAATTGTCTGCCAGCTAATTCCCCTAGGAAGGACTGATAAATGCCACCAAATGTGTCTTCCAGTTAGCAGCTCATTTTTAGACTTCAGAATGTAAGGATCCTAAACCTAAAGAATATGTCTCCAAAATTATTTTAGGCTCTGATAGTCATCAAAGTTTATTTCTTTTATTGCATTTTAACACTTGATAAATGAGTGTAGCATTGCAGCATGAAACGTCCTACAAGAAAGTGTGTCTGTTAGTGCATCTCCTCTATTGTTGCATTAAGTGATTGATTTACCTTAGAATTTAATTTACAGCTAACAAGGAAACCTTCTCAAACGTTTTACTGTGAAGTTTTATCAGCATTCTTCCCTACCTGGTTTTCTCAGCTCCCACATTACAACTGAGAGTTATGTGCTGTAAATTACTCCTGCTTCCTCCATTTTATATAACTTTCCCCAATCTAGATCTCTCTAAATAGATTAGGCAGCAATACCAACATTTTGGTGTTTGTAACCATTGCTTTCAGCGGCTAAATGGCATGAAAGGCAGGGAAGGGCTTTTGACTATACATGTAGTCCTCACTTAGTGACTTCTTGTTCAGCAACCATTCGAAGTTACAACAGTGCTCAACAAGAAGACTTATGGCCGGTCCTTGAAGTTGTGGCTGTCGCAGTGTCCACACAGTCACAGGATCATGATTGGGGCACTTGGCAAGCAGCACACAGTTACAATGGTCACAGCTTCCCACAGTCACATCACTTGTGATCTTCACTGCCAGCTTCCAATAAGTCAACTCAATGAGGAAACCAGCCACCACCTGATATTGTGGTTAATGACTGCACATGATTCCTTAACAACCACAACTTGAACAGTCATTGTACACTGAAGATCGCATTTAATTTCGTTGTACAAGGTACAATGACAATAAACTAACTAAACTGAACTAAACTAAACTAAATGATGATGGGAACAGTAATTAAACTCATCTTTAAAGCTCCAGACATCTAGGGAAGATATCCAGTACCTCTGGATCAGTCTGGAAAAGCAGGTTCAGCCTACTCAAAAATCCACTTTGCAAGAAAGTCACAGCCTTACTTAAAAATACTATAACCATTGGCCCTTTGTCCTTTAAACCATTCTAAAATGCATCTTAAATTTTTATCTTATAGACCTGCAATTCATTTTGTGCTTTATCTTCAGAGTACCAACACTTAAAAGTTCAATTGCATTCCTTTTATATGATCCTTCCTCTTCAACAGCTCATTTACTGCTTCTGCAAAATAGGGGAATCAAATTTATTAAAACTTATAAATCTAGGCTGGAGTATTCCATAGTAACTGAAGTAACAAGCTTTACACATTTAATAGTTGGAAAATTTTCTGTGTGTGTGTGTGTGTGTGTGTGTGTGTGTGTGTAACACACTTTGTAGTTTTTAGACTAAAATGGCATTTATGTGAAACTCAGCAATTATATTTGTATCCCACATGAACAGACCATCATATTAAAGTATATTATGGTTTATTTGTTTCAATATGGCATATTACATGGAGATAGCAATTGTATTTGCTAAATCTGCATTAACAATGTGGATCCAAGTTGTAAAGTGTAATAACCAAAGATTTAACATAGATGAATGAATGAATATCCCTTTTTCTCATCTTTGTTTCCCTACTGTGGTTACACACCAGAAACAAAACTAGCCTCGCACATTGCAGTATGCTTTGACTTGGCATTTCCAATAATTACAATTATTTCTCACTTTCCGTTCATAAAAAACTGTAATTACTGCTGCAGGATCTGGAAAGAGAGCTGGCTGGAAAGATGGCACTTGTTCTTCAGCATCTAAGACAAGAGTATTCCATAACTAGATATCAGACATGAACAATCAGAGGCACACATGAAGTGTTCAATTAGCTATTTTATTGCTCAAACCTATAACACAGGAATCTTCTCAGGTTACTGTGCATCAGCCTAGATAAAGTTCAATGACGTTCAAGAGGGGTCGGATCTGCTGTCTTATGCCCCTGTAGGGATTCCAGACTAATCTCACATTTGATTCCTCCCCCAGCTCAACCGGTCTAACTTTGACATCATGCACTGTTTGTCTAGGAAATTGCTATCTTAGTTATAGCGCTTCACCAAATTCTTCTAAAGTTTTCAACACACTATTATAAGCTATAGTGGTTGACTGGCCATAGTGGCTGGATTTATGCAACCTGCAAAGCAAATACATAGAGCCGAGGTGGTGCAGTGGTTAAATGTAGCACTGCAGGCTACTTCAGCTGACTGCAGTTCTGCAGTTCGGCTGTTCAAATCTCACCGGCTCAGGGTTGACTCAGCCTTCCATCCTTCCGAGGTGGGTAAAATGAGGACCCGGATTGTTGTTGGGGGCAATATGCTGACTCTGTAAACCGCTTAGAGAGGGCTGAAAGCCCTATGAAGCGATATATAAGTCTAACTGCTATTGCTATTGCTATACAGTAGTGGCCAAAATTATGGAAACCTTTTGGGAAAAGTATTTTTGAGGTTTGATGGCTAAGCAACCCCCCCCCCCCTTTTAGTAGTACCATAAAATTATATATCAGCTGAAAGATAATTTAATCAAGAATGCAATGCAACAAAGTTTGTTCAATTAATTGTATTCTATGAAAAGTTATAGCCAAATGTAGCCAGCAATAAAACCCACTTAATAGAAGCAATGAATCATTCAATCTTGGTTTCACATTATAACAACTGCAGAACTAAAAGACTCGGTTAACTCCATGGGAAGATGTTGTAAGGCTGTAATTCATGCTAAAGGCAGAGGTGGATTCCTGCCGGTTCGCACCTCTTCGGGCATACCAGTTCCAAAAATTTGCCGTACTTTTGCGTACCCGTTCCACGGAGGCATAGCCATGTCCCCATACTGGTACGCTCCCTTGCCCTGCAGCCCATTTGCAAGGCGCATCTCAAAGAGAAAGAAGCGAGGTTGGGGCTTCTT